ATTATTACCACACCTGTAGAATTAATCTCTCGTCTGACAATATGAAGGTTTAAAGGTCTCCCGAAATCAGCATATAATACCTTGATCCAACAAAAAAAGAAAAAAAAAAATGATTTGAAATTCTAGCAAACAAATGGAGAAAACGGTGTAGAACCTTCCCAGGAATTGTTGAGCTACCATGAAGACGTCTCAAAAGAATCCTGAACATTTAAAGCATCTGCAGAGCCGACTTTCCTCAAAGGTCAGAGTTCATGATTCAATAAAAATGGTGGCCAGAGCCAATGTTCACCAAATACGAGTCATACCATTTTGCCAAACAAAAAACATTTAAACTATCCCCGAGATTTTAGTAAAGTACAGCATTTCAGGAAAATAAGTGCGAAGTTCTTTGGCAATGTTAAATTAAGCAATTCTGCAGGGGTAAATGGGCCAAGATTCCACGACAAAAGACTTATTTCAATTTACTTACACATTTTAGTAACGGTATAGGTTGCCCCCCCACCTTTAAAAAATTAAATCATCATTTTAAAAGACTTTAAAAATGTATTCTTATTGTTTGATACGATTTTTTTATTTTTATTTTTTGTGAAAAAATGTGAAGAAATGTGTGAGAGGGTCAAAGCTTTCACAGCACTGCATGGCTCCGTGACCTCCCTGCTGGTGAGCTGTGGTGAGAGCAGGGAAGTGGCGCGAGCCCAGGAATGGTCAGGGTAGTCTGCGGCCACTAGGAAGGGGGGGAGGAATCTAAATGTCAACATAATGTCATGAGCCGTGCCAGAAGGTCAAATGCTCAAACGGTGCTCAGTAGCAGGCACTTAATAGATCATGTGTAATTTAAATTGTTGTGCTTCCTGTGATAAATTGATTGGCGTTGGTTATTTTTAGACCCTGAGTTTGTGCGGTGAATACATTTGTTTTCTTCTGTCAGTAAGATTTGGTGGCATAGCTTCAGTGAAAGACGTAGTACATGTGTATCAGCGGTGTTGATTTATATAAATAATTTAAGAAGTAAAACACACAGATTATGAAAATATTTGATGCTGAGTGGGAGAAATAAAACTTTGCTTCAGCACAGATGATAAAGGAGTCCAGGTTGAACCTGATCTGGTGTCTGTTACCCTCCTCTGCACTCCTCTTTCATAATTTCTTTGTAGAGTTTTGAATGTAACAGAATAATTGTATTAACTTGCACCTGAAATAAACCTTTTTAAAGCTTTTGTATCACCCTTTGAAGCCTCTGCACGTCAGAACTTCAGCTGAATCTGACTCATTAGGTCCACGGCCACCTGTGCACTCGTAATGACTCCTGCTGCTGCCCTCATGTTCCTGCACATCAGACAAGAGGCCGCTCCGGCAGAGGCCATCGCTGAATGGAGCCGGCTCATCATCTGCCTGCCTTTGTTGAGCGCATATCATGCTCGGCTGCTCATGCCAGGAAAAAAAAACAAAAAAAACAACCCATCTGAGCCTGACTAATGCAGCCGTGCAGACGCAGCAGTAAGAGGTGGGGGTGGCAGGGCACGTTGGTGCACTCAGGGTGCATGGTCTCAACACTGAGGTCACTGAGCTTCCCTTTCGTTAATTTGCCTCAGAGTGCATCAGGAGAGCGATCCTGTTCTTCAGGGCTTAACAGTATGATAGTCTATAGATAGAATATTTAATTCGGAATCAAGTTTAGAAAAGTCAAGCAGTTTTTTCTTTAAGCTGTGCTTTTTAAAAAATCCTCAAATCCAGGTCAGATTGTAATGATTCTCATCCCCTGACTCGCTCACCATGCTCCCCTTCTCCATTTCCTCTTTGTCTGAGTGCTCTTGTTGCCTGAGGTCAGTTTGTCACAGAGAACACAAGCTTTTCTCACTTGAACACAGCGATTCAGTGATTGCTGTGTACAAACAATCATATCAAGCAGGGTTGACATGCACCCACCTCGCCAACCCCTTCCTCCCTTCCCACAGATATGAAACAAGTCCCTCCTGCCCTCTGTGCTGCTGCCTCTAACACTGGCTGCATCTGTGCCCCTCCCTGGCATGAGATGGGTTACACAAGCTGCTGCCCTGGGAATCCCTGTCCAGCTCATTATCCTGCACCCATGAGACACAGCTCATTGTAAATTAGGACATTAAATGATGCAAGCTCGTTAAAGGGCCACAGATTTGCTCATTAGCATCAGCACCTTCGCTTGTTAGAGCCTGCATCGGCATTCAGTCACACCAACCACCCTGCATCCCGTCATTCGTCTGCACTGACTCAAAGATTTAGGATTAATGTCAGTTGTAGCCAGCGGGTCAGCCCTGCTGAGGTTCAGATAAGGGGCTGATTGATCAGCTGTGGCGGGAAGCTGTGGAAGTTGTTGACAGCTGCCCACTATACCCACCTCTTTTTCTCTCCCTTCATATTTCATTGTGTGGAAGGAGAGAAGAAAGGCTCAGAATAACTCTAGTTGTTTGCACTTTGGAGAAGGAAAATTATAAAGAAAAACCTTTAAATGCTCACGTTACACTGCTCAGGTTAGATTTTTTTATCCTTTCCATTAACAGAATGCCTTTAAAAAATAAATGACCCTCAGTAACTCAATTAAAATATATAATTTAAATGGTATTTAACATACTGTGATATGTTTCTGCATCTGCAGTCCTTATTCAGTTGCATGAATTCTATCAGCGTGGCGTGGAGGCAGTCGGGTCTGCTGAGGTTTTAAGGGTTCCCAGGTTGCATCAATAGCTATGAAATAAAATTAGCATCTCCGAGCTTGTCAGAATAGGGTTAACTTCAATACTCAAAACTTTCCTCTAAAATGGCTGTACTGACTTTGGACCAGCACCAGCTTCCCAAATCATGGCTGGTCACAGAGATGGATCCCAAATATCTCTGAATTGTTTCTGCTCCACTCTTTCCTGAACATTAACACCCGGATTTGATTGGTTTATTGACTTTATAGATCTCACAGTAGAGAAATGTACTCGTTACATCAGCTCAAATAGTCAAAAAGGGAATAAGAAAGGGGCCAAGGATGGAAAAGGTACATGGGATATATACAGTATATACAGTGACATACATGACATATATACTTTTTTTTTTTTTTATAGCAGGATTGTTATACAGGTTTATTGCACAGGGTGTTTAAATGGGTATTTATATGGATGGATATATATTGCACTGGGTGTCAAATATAAAGAAACAGGTTATTACATGGGTATTAAATAGTTATACAATACAATTTGTGTGAATAAAAGGAATTTTGAAATGAGGGTTAGCTCGTTTTTTTTTCTTAGCCCAGTAAGATGTTTGTTTTTGGTTCATATTTTTATTTAACCTTTATTTTCCAGGAAAGTCCTGTCGATTTTTAAAAAGCTCTTTCAAAGGCCTCAAATCTCCCCCTCAAGTTGAATGGATCCTCGTAAAACGGCGGTTATCCCCGATGAATGTGTAACTTCTACCGATGTTTTTTTTCCTTTTCAGTCAACTTCCCATTAATATGCTCTGCAACATCCCTTTATGAAGAGCCCGCTTCTTTAGCGATGACCTTTTGTTGCTTACTCTCCTTGTGGAGGACGTCTGACTATCTCTGTGTGACGATTGTCCACATTTCACTACTTTCATCAAAGCTATAGAAAAGGCCTTCACTATGACTCTGTATTGAGCTGAAATAACCTTTATTATGCTGTTGATATTCCTGCTGTTATAAAAGCAGGCACTGCTTATGACCCTGAGATGTTTGGATCATTAATCTGTTTTTAAATGCGTGTCATTCAGTGCCCTTTGATGTAAATGATCCGATTCTATTAGTTTTGAACTAGAATTAATCTCTGTGTAATGAATCTATGGTATTATCTGGGTCTCATTCTTTTGAATTGAATAACTGAAACAAATTAAATTTTTGAAGGTTTCTTATATATTACGGTTCCCTTTTAATGCAAAATTATAATATATCTCATTTACAGCTATGTTTATACAGTAGCTAACAAGAAATTATTTCTGATGTGTTTCTGACATTGTTCAGGGGAAGCCACCATAATCCAGTTACATAACAGCTTTATGTACACAAACAAAATGCCCTATTCAAACTTTTTGTTCAATCTTTATGGGTTTTGTGCCTTTCAGTACATTTTCTCTATTCCTTTGTAAAAACTTAAATAAAAGATTGAATTTGAGTTGTCAGTATTTGTCCAAGCTTTCTGCAGAGCTTCATAAAGTGAAGGATTCTCCAGAAACACACAGAGAGGAGGTCACAGTGGATGGGTTACCTGTCCATCACAGAAACACAAACCATGCACAAGAGAGGAACTCTCATTCACCTTTTTGGTATTTTTGTGGCCTATATTAAAATTTGCAGACTTTAGAGAGAATTTATAAATGCACATTGAGAACATACAAACTCCATCCAGAAAAAAAACAAGTCTGGGATTCATGCTAAGGAACACTGAGAGGCAGTGTAAAACCGATATAGTTTTCATCATAATAATTCCATAAAACCATCAGAGCATTCCTGTATATTTACTGTAAACAAATCCTGAATGTTTTATCACATTAATGGTTTGTTTCGTAATTACATTGCTTATTAACCGTAATAAATACCTGTAAAACTCTTTCAAGTGTTCATTTTATGTATTCAGATACTTTTGAATGAACCTGTGAGCCTTTCTCTTAACTTTCACTGCTGTCCTCTGTCAATCCATAATTGTTTTTAGATATTTCTGTTTTAAGGTTATTATACATTCTTATGATTTTTCCTTCACAACCTTTTCTAACATGTATGCGTCCCATGAGTCTGCTGTGATATGGACTCTGTTGCTCCTAAATCCACTACTGCTTTCCCTTAAACCTTCTCATGGTTTTATTCTTTAGTCCATACTGATCCTGCTCATTTCTTCTGCATGCAATCTGAGCCCCACTGCATGCAGCCCTTCTGTGATAGAGTCAGACCTCCTGCATGACTTCACCTTCACTGCATCTTTCTCTATGCACTTCACCTCATCTTCATCCTGCTCTTTCCCCCCCAGGACCCTGGCATCCTCTTCTTCCGTGGTTTCAGCTAAACCAGAAGCTAATGACAAAATATCAAACGAGCATTTGTTGCTTTACGAAAACTACATATATCCCTGGTCAGAACTTTCCACACACTCCTCATTGGGCAGGAATGTTTAATTTCTTTTGGTCTTCTTTGATTGATTATGACTTTACATTTAAGAGTTAGATGCAAGTTTGAATTACTGTTGAATTTCAATCCACACAAGGTTAAAATCGTCATTGCCTTATTAATGAATCTCTAATACCAGATGTTTATGATCAAACGCAATTTAATGTGAGACAAAAACAACCCTAAAAAAACCTCAAAAAATGTTTTGAAATGACAATTTTTATTAACATAAAATAGGCATTAAGCCCTGCTTAGTGCTAAAAAAAATATATTTGGCTCCTTTGTTAATTCAACTGCTCAGACCATTCTTTTGTAGAAGTGATTTTACCTAAAAAAAAAAAGTAAGATGAATCATGTTATCTTTCGTAAGCAATCACATACATACAGTATAGAGTATCAGTGATGTGTTAGAGATGATTTCAGTTCCAATGATGCCTGAAAGCAACAGCTGGGTATCATGCTGTTTGGCCATGTTGTTGTGCTGTCAGTCATGATCTGCAGTTCGCCCCCCCACCATGCCAAAACAGGGTCAGAAGTTTGAATCTGAAAAATTGCAATCTGCAACTGCAAAAAAAAAAAAAAAAAAAAAAACTGTAAAAAAGAGATTGAAAGTATTTTTGAGATTTAAGTTTTCATAAATTTTTTTCATTTTCGCAGCTCTGTTTTTGTTAGCTTCAAATTGTTTTATTTTTTTATTGCAAAACTCTCTTTCAGTTTCAAAACCTTTTTTTTATTTTAGATTTCTTTTTGGGAGGGGGGGGGGTCCATCATTTTTCAGGTTCATTTTTTTTCTTAATAAACTTTATGGCCCCAATTTAGCCCCCAAGATGATTGGATCTGGAGTTTAATTGACACTAGTTTAGTAAAAAGATTAGCACACTGTTACACATGGTGGCAGTAATGTAATGATCTGAGACGTCTTTGATTTTTAACCCTTTGAAACCTAACGTGTCGCCCGCGACGCATTTCACAAGCCAACTTCAACTTACCGTAACTCTGCAACGGTTTGCGCTATCAGAAAAATTCAAACTGTCTTTGAAAGAAAATAAATTGCACTTTCAGACCTGCATAGTGTTATTACGGTAATTGACTTCCCGCCGCTCCAGGATGCCCGCGAATGCTAGTCTGTGTCTCCCTCTGCTTCACGGACGAAGAGTGCAGAGTGAGGAGGAAAAGATGAGCGACAGAGCGGAGAGCCAGAGTGAAGCGTATGATAATAGGAGTAACAAACGTCCTTCAAGAGATAAAAAGAGACCGAGGAGATTCCTGGATGGTTTTGTGTTTGAAAAAGGAGATCCAGTTTTTTCTTCTGAAGAAAGGTAATGTTTCATCATTGAATAACTTTTTGAATTTTATTTCTGAATGAATGGGGCTTGTTACTTCATGGATAATAGCTTTTACTTGGTACAAATAATTGGATGTATTTATAGTTTTATTTTCTATTTTATTTTGTTTTTGGAATAGTTTAGAGAGTATAAAAAATAAATAATAAAAAAAAGAGTATAAGTTATTATAATATTCATCAATATGTACTTTGTGTAAAAGTGCACTTTTGCTCACTATATATGACACTCCTAAGTACAGCACCACACTCTTCATGTATTCATGTGTAGCTTACTATGACTTTTTTTATTGCTTAGTGTGGATTTGAGACCAACTTTATTTATTTACTACTATAAATAAAAGCTGTCATTGCTGTGACAAACTTGTATATTTACTGTTTTTAGAACATTTTCTGATGAAGAGCAGCTGGCTCCAAGGGGGCGAAGTAGAAGAGACAGAATTCCTTCTGGAGGGTCTGCTGGAGGTCCTTCTGGAGGGTCTGCTGGGGTCCATGCTGGGAGTATGAGGCACCGCAGCCGTTCCCCACATCATCCAAGGTGGAAGACCCATGAAGAGCCTGATGAGAAAGGCTTTCAACCCCTAAGGTTCTTCCCCAAAAGAATCCCTGGTGTTCAACCCCCTCTAAATGTAGGAAATCCACAACCAGGCGAAATTTTTGAGTACTTTTTTGACAATGAAGTCCTCACATTAGTTTGTGATTTTACAAACAAGGGGGCAGCCAGGAACCTGGAGAAAGGGAGGAAGTTCTCCTGGACTGAAATGCAGAGAGGGGAAAATCGCCTGTAAATAGTTTTAATTGTTAGTCTGTTTCTTATTTGTAAAAATAATTGAGAATGAAAAAAATATTGTAAATATGTTCTATAGTGTTGAAATTGTCAATTTGTGATGCAAAATCTGTACTTCATGTTCAAATGCAGTGTTTTATTTGCATAAAATCTCCAAAATCTAATTTCGATTTTTGTTTTTTCTTGATATCAAACAGTTTTAATAGTGGTTTAGTATCAAGAATAATGTAAAATAATGCATTTATTGAAAGCTCTAAATGATTCTGGAAAAATGTGCTGAAGCACTTGGCCACAGGACTTTTTCTTCCTACTTTTTACTTTAAACAAGTAAAAAAATGCCAGGCGGACTTTTGAGTGACAGGCCTAAAAGGGTTAAAGACCTGGTAGACCTGTTGGAACTGATGGATTGCAATGATGGAAAGGTAACCCTTTAGCTATACACCTACCCATCCATCCATCCATCCATCCATCCATCCATCCACCATCCATCCATCCATCCATCTAACCAACCAACCAACCAACCAACCAACCAACCAACCAACCAACACAGAGACAAAAAGCACAGAGAACCAAACTCATCCATTTCTAACTCTGGAACAACCAGTTGACCAGTTTTGACTCTTTGTGGATTAGAGAAAATTCTCTTTAAATTCAAACTTGTGCACAAAAAACACATAATTTTCATTCTGTTTCTTAAGGATTTTAATAAAAAAATAAATGATGATAATGCTCATGAGGAGAGTGTGTAAACACCAGGCTCTAACAATGATTTTGCCCCATCTGCTGTATGTTGCTTTTATCACCCTATACATCTGATGGGGTAAAATAGCTGCTAAAATTTTCCCTTTATGTATTGTTGATGTACTGTTTTTGCTTTTCTGGAGAAACAGCTTCAGAGTTTAAATATTTTAAGCTAAAAAAATGAGTTCAAAAGAATTCTGAAAGAGGAGTTTAAGAAAAGAGGAGCTCCCAGTGTAAATTGGCACAGCCGTTTTACATCATTAAAGCCTGAAAAAGGCCTAAATTACTGAGGAAACACACGCAGAGATATATGAGGACGCTTGGTTAAAAATCCCCGTTCTGACCAGCTCTGGTCAACAAACAGGAGCCCTTTCTGCAAAGCAGAGTTTAAAAGTTTTTCACAGATTACAAAGGGGCCTGCAGGCTCAGACAGCAGCAGGTGATCTGTTTACCTATGATATTTACAGAGAAAGAAAGTTAAATATGTGCAATAAATTATCTTCCTTTATCTTAACCCAAATTTAAATCGCAATAATCAAAAATGTATTTGAAGTATTTAATATAGAGGAACCTGGTGGTTTTTAAAGATATCGCCTATGTTGAAGCTCTGTCTTTATTTTTGATGTTTCTGTTGTCAGTGTTGTTTCTTGTTAGCTTAATGAAACCAAATATTTATATTAGCAGTGTAAAACACAACTTTTCTTAAACTGGCTGACACTAATCAGATCAAAGGTTTCTATTTGCTAAATGACAGAATATATTACTTTATATGACTTTATTTAGATTTGTAAGCTAACTCTAGGGTCAGAGTTGATATTAAACAGTTTTTTGAAATCATGTAAAACACTAAACACACTAAAGAAATTGGCTGAGGTATTAGGAAGAGAAATGTGGACCTCCACAAATCTAGGTCACCCTTTTGTATCATTTCCAGATGTCTAAAGCTTCCATTTCCATGTGTTCAAACTGTTAGATGGTAGTATGAACAGCATGGGAATGTCCAGAAATCAAACTGTTCTGGAAGGACTCATAAGTAATCATCATGGAATCACAATCTTTTAAAATCCATCCACCCTGGACAGGTCGTCAGTCTATAGCAGGGCAACAGAGAAAGGAACCGAACAAACACATTTTCAGACACACACTCACACCTAAGGAGAATTTAGAGAAGCCAACTGACCAAAGAGTCATGTTTTTAATGTGGGAGGAAGCCAGAGTACCCAGAGAGAACCCACACATGCACAGGGAGAACATGCAAACTCCATGTAGAAAGACCCCGGGCCAGGAATGGAACCTGGAACCTTCTTACAGCAGGCAGCCTTGCTACCCACTGTGCCACCGAGTAATGGCAATGATTTAAAAATGTTATTGCCACATAAATTTATGGGAGGAGCTAAATTTGTTTTTGAGCAAGGCCTACCTATTTGACTTGGTTCAACTGGTTCTCTCTGGAAAAAATGGCAAAAAGTGGAGACTTGTGTGGGAAACTCGTGAGAGCTTACACAAACTATTTGATCCAACTTCCATAATCCAACTCCAAAATTAAGTAAACTTAACAGTTTGCTTAATACACAAAGGAAATTTGTCTGAACGACTACGCAGCCCTGTGATTATTCTGTCATTTTTTAAATAGAAAAATATTTTGGTGATGGTGGCCAACTTAAAACAGAGAAAAAAACATAAAAGCAATGAATCTTAAAAAAAATATCTGGTTTCAATTGTAGGGATATTCCTCCTGGGTTTAACTAGAACCCTACAGGCTGAAAGCTTTGTATATTTTAAAAGGCTAAGATCTGTAGTAACAGTAGTAACATTCTGCAAAGCAGCACTTTTATTTTTTCCAGCCATCTCCAGCTTTTAGAGCATAATTGTTCCCTCTGTTACATTAAATCATTAGACGTTATAAACATAAGAAGACCTCAGGTCAGTCTTAAAATGTGTCTACTGCTGGGAGGTTTAAAACAAGAAAGGTCGAGTTGAAGTTTGTCTTGGTCCATCCTATGATTCTTTGGTGCCTTTCAGACCTGTGAGAGTTTTTCTCATCCATGAAGACCAAAGGGGCTTGTTTTTTCTGGTCTTTTCAACAACTTTGTGTCTAACCAGATCAACAGCTCATGATTTAACTCTGTACTGTACTGTGCATCTCAAGACCACACCCCTGTCCCCAAAGGGACTAATGGGATCAACTCTTGTGCCGAAACAACTGACCTTTTTTTGTGTGATATTTGTTTCCAACAATAAAAGCTTCAAGCATTTAACCACATGTGGTAATAAGTGGTTAAAACCTGTGTAATTATCTGCTGCTGTGTCCGTTTCCTGACTTCACGCAACAATCATTATCATTTAATGCTTTGTCATTTACTGTCACGATTAACAATAGTTTAAGAATATTAGTTTGCCACACTTTGTAAACAAAAAAAAGTTATTCTGCATTGTACTTCTGCATTTTTTGATGTTAGTATCTTAAGCTTGCAGTATAAACACAGTTCTCTAATAAAATCACACACGTATCAGAAGAATTTGTGACTCCAAGTCCAAGTTAAGCCTGTTTGTGAGTCAACCTTAGGACCTAAATTGAAAAACAGCACTTTGCTGCATGAAAAACATGATCATAATGTAAGGCCATACTGTAAATTGAAATATTTGATGGAAAGAAATTGAAAAATTCTTTTCATTTGCTGAACTAACTAGAATTGTGGGCTGATAACAGGGTTAAACTGCAGCCCACACCATGAGAATAAAACTTCTAAACATAACAGAACTGCATGGTTGGTTTTGTCAGATTACTGCACACACAGGTATGAAGTGTGTGTGAATAGTGAAGTTACATCAGAGTTGTAGTCTCACCTTGCACATGGATTTCTTTTCAACATTTTGGATTTCTTTTCAACCATGTGGGACAATGATCTATTATTGGAACTGACAGAGACAGAGTGTAAAGCTGATATTTATGGAGTGAAAAAAAAATCAAACAAATCTATTTTCTTTGGAGAGCTGTTATAAATGTGTTTTCCTTTCACATAAAAATAAAGTTTCTCAGAGTAAAATTACTTTTGCTTGGGAGGAAAGTTGATCTTGTCAGAGGGATAAACAATGAGACATTCACAGCGTGAACAAATACTAAGTGTGGTTTTAAAGTAATTATTTTAACAGTGGTTCATCTTACTGGTGTCGGTACCCACATTAAAACACAAGACTGTTTTGAAATAAAGGTATGAGAGTAAGGAAAAAATGTGCAAGTGTATTATTTACTGCCTTTAAAGGTATAGTGGAGGATGTTTTTTTCCAGGTGGATGATCAAAATAAGTGGTCCTCCTAACTATCAATCATTCTATATGTTTACATATGGCCGTCCTAGGTGCTCGTCCCATTAGCTATCTTTAACTGGGCAAACGCACTTTCAGGCGTATATCTGTGGTGAGCTACGGTTTCAGACAGTCATTGAAGCTCACCTTTCTCATTGCAGTTCTTTGAAAATTGTTTGTAAAAGAAAATGTGTCTACAAAGTGTATGAGAAGAAAAGAGAGGCCTCAGAAGAGGCAGATATATCCCTGAATGCTTTTCTCGGAGACTCTCATCACAAAGCATTATGGGATTTGCCATCACAGTGGCCCGCTTTTGCCATAGGCTGTCGCTTCCCGACAGAGGCGACTAATAACAAACATGGCGCAGGCACCGGTGGTGGAGGCAGAGTTACATGACCAATGGGGACCAAAGACCAGTGATCATCTGTCTGAACGGTAAGTTAACTGAGTTTGCTATAAGGTCCACTATATAGTCCCCTGGTTAGGGCGGATGTTCAGGCACAGTAAGCTTGTATTAGCTATGAGAACAGCACCTTTTAAACAGAGCGTGCATGAGGAGAAATGGGCTTGTGCACGCTCTTGCACCCGTTTGATAGGCGTTCTCTCTCGGGAGTAGGTACAGGGTTGTGCATGTGATTTTTTTTTTTTTTAAGTGGAGAGGGCAAGTCTTTGAAAATTAAAATCCTCCACTGTACCTTTAATGTTATTTTTCACCATGTTTAATTAAACTGAAAAACAATCTTAGTAGTGATTGTTAGAAGGGCTTTAAGGCAGCTAAATTAAGTAGAGGTTATTTTGCACGTTACTCAGGCAGAGTAACGTGCAAAATAACCTGGAGTTTATTTAACAACTTTGAAGAGGTGCAAAACAGGAAAAGAACCCAGTATCAGCAGCTGAATTAATCTGGTAGCCTTTTGTAACCAACTAAACCCTTAAATTAAAAAAACCTACCATGAAACAGGGCTAGAAATTACATATGCACTAGGAAGCAGCTACAAAATCACTAAAACATTAATGACTTTAGCTAATAATGCTATCTGGCATAAAATAACGTTTAATTTTGAAATCTAAGTCAACAGTATTTAACTCTAATGTATAAAGTTTGCTCCTCCACTACC